TACCCCTTCCTTAACCCTACTACCTCTAACCTTAACTCTACTCCTACCCTACCCCTAAACTTAACCCAACTTGTACTCCTACCCCTAATTCTACCCCTACCCTTACCTTAATCCTACCCCTACCTCTAACTTTAACCCTACCCCTAACCTTAACCCTGCTTTTACTTCTACTCCTACACCTGACTCTACACCTTCCTTAATCCTACTTCTGCCTCTAACCTTTACTCCTTACTCTACCCCTAGCCTTAACCCTATTCTACTCCTACCCCTAACTCTACCCTTACCCCTATCTTGCCCCTATCTTACCTCTACCCCTACCCCTAACTTTAACCCTACTCCTAACCTTACCCCTAATCTTAACCCTACTCCTAACTTTAGCCATAATCCTTCTCCTATCCCTACCCCTTCCCCTAACCCTACCCCAACTCTAACCCTAACCCTTTCCACATTCCCGCCCACAATACTAACCCAACTCAATCGTTTCCTTCCATCCTTTCTCACTTTTGCTCCTTTCTTCCCCAGCCGAAAGGTTTGTACGAGGAGTAACTCCTTCGAAGACCAGATGGCCAGCTCTCCAAGGACACCCCCCTCCATGCACCCGCACCCCCAGACCTAAAAGGCCCTGGGGAAACCTCTCCCCCATCTCCTGCACTCTGTATATCAGCATTGCCCCCTTCTCCAAGGTAGAATAAAAACGATGAAACAGATGGTTTGTTTATTTATTTAATTTTGTATCTAAGGCGGGACTAGAACTCACCATCTCCTGGTGATTGGCCCAAAGTCACCCGGCTAGCTTTCATATCTAAGAAAGGACTAGAACTCACCGTCTCCTGGTGATTGTCCCAAAGTCACCCAGCTGGCTTTCATATCTAAGACAGGACTAGAACTCTCCGTCTCCTGGTGATTGGCCCAAAGTCATCCAGCTGGCTTTCATATCTAAGACAGGACTAGAACTCTCCGTCTCCTGGTGATAGGCCCAAAGTCACCCAGCTGGCTTTCAGGCCTAAGGTGGAACTAGAATTCACCATCTCCTGGAGTCAGGCGATATCCCCTTTTGCGACCTTCTGACAAGCAAAGTCAACAGGGAAGCCAGATTCACTTAACGACCGGATTACTGACTTAAGAACTGCAGAGATTCACTAAGCAATGGCAGCAAGAAAGGTCACACAATGGGGTAAAACGCCCGGGTAGAACCAGATTCACTTCACAACCATGTTACTAAGCTAACAACCGCGGCGATTCACTTAACAACGGCGGCAGGAAAAGCCGTCAAATGGTGCAGAGCTCCCTTAACAAACATGTTGAGTTAGCCACAGAAACTTTGGTCGTAGGTCGCAGTCATAAGGAGAGGACTGCCTGGATAAAAGCTGACCATGGCAGGATTTCTTCCTAGCACACTCCAAACAGACACGAAAAAAGAAACTTGCAATCTTTTTTGACGACTTTAAAGTGGGCTTAACCCCAAATTTCTTCCT